ATACAGCAGGAGCAACAAAACTCTTGTTAGTGACTTGCCTCTTCACTGGTCTCTTCCTGGCATCCTACTGCTAATATGTCCAAGGAATTTGCAGGCTTGCAGCTTCTTGGCTCTTCCAAGATCTGGCCCAATACTTCAGGTGTGGCAAACTCTCCGGTTTGGAGTATTAGGTCAGATTGTTCCCCAGCACTGATGACTCCAGTCAGGCCTAGGAATAACAGAACTTGGAGCAGAATTTTACTGGTAAAAATAGCGTTCAGAGGTGTATATGCATTAGAATGATTTAAGCAGTGTCAGTACTTTTGAAGTGGAGGGGTTTCTATTGCACTAACTCACCTTTGTGCCCACCTGCTTCCCAATGATACTGGTATCCTTCGACTTTGCTGACCTATCCGTATTGCTCCCACTCCAGTTCAATGGGTGTGAATTCCGTGTTTCACCTTTCAGATTGTTTACTTCAGTTTTGGGGCTCTGAGTGTCTCTCTATCTTTACCAAATATTCTGCTTATGCTCAGACTAGGATCTGTACGGCATCTCATGAGTAAGCCAGCCTGCTGCCAGCATCTCTGCTGCCCTCTTGCCTGCTGCCTCTACTCTAATTTCATGCGCACACACAACCACTCTGCAACCTTGCCAGGAAGCTGAAAGTTCATCCATTTGAAATAAACATAAATACATTTTATGAATTTTTTATGATTTGCTGGTTGATAACTCTTTATTTACTTTTGGTCTTGAAAATCAGCAAGTCGGATTTGTTCCCCCCACCCCTCTTCTGCGTTCCCGTAGTCCCACTCTGGGATCAAATGCCATAGTGCTTTTTGAAGTGAATCCCACCAGGAAACAGATGTTTCTCTTCACTTTCTCATCAGGCACAAGCTCGCTGACCAAAAGACCCGCAAGTCACTGGGGCGGGAGGAGTTTCGGCTTTTGCACTATGCTGGAGAGGTCACTTACAGTGTGGCAGGTAAGTGTGTGTATCATCTCCTCCTCCTGTCCCTTTGAATTAATACAGCTTCACTATATAGTTAAGAAAAATGTGGGTATAGAATACATCCACACATTGTTTTATTAATTGCCCATCTCAAATTCCTGCCTTGTTGCGCAGTTCCTGTGGAACAGCAGTGGCAGCCTGCGTGGTTTCTTTTTCTTCCAGGTTTTCTAGATAAAAACAACGACCTTCTCTTTCGGAACCTGAAGGAGGTGAGTGTGGATAGAGGACGATTCCAATACTCAGCAGAACAAGGAGTTGGGTTTAAAGTGGGGTGGCACCTGAGGGAAAAGATTCTTCTAGACTCCACCTGGAGAATGCATATCCATAGGGCTGCGCTAGGAGAAGACAAATTGAGGTGCCCAAAGTTCATTTTAAAAAGCAAAACAACACACACACACACCCCCCCCAACAAACAGGTTTATCCCATGTTTCTTTGATAATTCTCTGAAGGATACTCCATACTTTATCTCTGAAAACATCTCTCTCTGCAGACCATGTGCAACTCTGAGAATCCAATCATAAATCAGTGTTTTGACAGGACCGAGCTGACGGACAAAAAGAGACCTGAAACGGTAAGAACGCAAGGGATGGATGGAAGTGTGGCTGCTTCCTCTTTTTAAAAGACTTGTCCCGCCTCCCATGGTAATCTAAACGCAAGCCTCTTGCATTTCAAGCTGGGAGACTGAGGTTTGTTCTGCAGTCACGCATACTAGCTGCAAGTCATCCCTTCGTACATCGTTTTCTTTCTTTTCTCCTAGGCAGCAACTCAGTTTAAAAACAGCCTCTCCAAACTCATGGAAATCCTGATGTCCAAAGAGCCCTCCTATATTCGTTGCATTAAACCTAACGATGCTAAACAGGCTGGTATGGCCCTGGTGACTCTTCCTCTTTTCTACGACAGCTATATATAGACCTCTAGATCCCAGTTAGCGGTGCACAGAAAGGAGCTCAAATCAAGAAGTCCTGCAGGATTTTTTTTTCATTTTGGGTCTGTGCCAGAGCTTCTTGTAGGAGGTGGTGGTGGTACCAGCAGCCAGGAATCAGAGTGGGAGCTGGTCTTGGGTGGAGTAGGGTCATGTTTAAAGTGAGGAATTATTAACCTACGTAACTTGCTTTTAATGACCTTTATTCTCCATCATTTCCTCCTCCTGTATGCATAGAACATCCTAAAGGAGAGCTTCGTTTTGGAACTAAATATAAATGTATATTAGAAGAGGGGGAGAAGACAGGAGACACAAAGATAGTTCTGTGGGACTTGCGCCGTGAGGATGGGTTAGAGGTTAAAGATAATTGTGTAAGATATAACCAAGAACTGAACATTCCCCTTCTCCAGATGAAGGGACAGCCATACACTGATCACGTTTCTCTCTTTTCATGCTCTCTCAAGATCGATTTGATGAAGTTCTAATCCGACATCAAGTGAAATACCTAGGGTTGATGGAGAACCTCAGAGTGCGCAGAGCTGGGTTTGCATATCGAAGAAAATACGAAGTTTTCCTGCAGAGGTAGGGTTACCTTGGACTGCGCTCTCCCTGCTGCTCCGTCCCCCTGGTCTTGGTCCCGCTGAGGCTGGGGAGCTGTTTGGAACAGCAGAGAGGCAGGCCTTACATCTGAAAGGCTTCTTTTCTTGAGGGAGCGAGAAGCGGGGTCTCTCTCTCTTTCCGCTGCCCTGTAGGGAGTGGACTTCTCTCCCTAAGATTTCTTCTGCTGTCCATTTAAAGGTACAAATCACTTTGTCCAGAAACATGGCCGACGTGGGACGGCCGGCCCCATGATGGGGTGGCTGTGCTGGTGAAGCATCTTGGCTACAAACAGGAAGAATACAAAATGGGACGGTTAGTTCTTCTGTTTTCTTAATTTGAGATTATGAATCGTTGGGACATCCATGTCATTGCTTTTAAATAAGGCTTCTCTATCTAATGGGCAAGGACAAGATTAGAGATCCCAAAGGGGATGCTAAGGGCAGGAAGCAAACTTCTCCGGCATGTTAAACATAATTCTGCACTTCTATTCCTAGAACAAAGATTTTTATTCGCTTTCCCAAGACCTTGTTCGCAACGGAAGATGCTCTGGAAGTGAGGAAGCAGAGCCTGGGTGAGTCACAGTCTGCAGGAGCTGCATGGATAGTTAGCTGTCTGTTTTCTGATTATTTTTGTTTGTTTGTTTTGGGGGGAAGGGATTTTTGTTTAACAAGTTGACCCTTCTACCAAAATCTGCTTGGTCACAATTTCAAATCGCTGCTTTTCTTGCAATTTCAGCAACAAAAATGCAGGCCACGTGGAGAGGTTTCTACCGTCGAAAGAAATTCCTGCACATGAAACAGTCAGGTATGAGACAAGAGAGAGGAAACTGCAGCGCTGTGTAACTGTGTGGTTCGAAGCAGTGGTTGTTGTCAGAGATGACTTCAGTTTGATGGGAATGTTCCTTCCTGCCCAAAGCCTTGCTGGAAGTCGAATGGAAGCTGTTGGTGTGGTACCCAGTCCTTCCACCTTCAGTCTGTCAGACTCTGAGCAAGAGCAGCAGAGTTAACAGAGTTCACCCAGCAGCCCCCGTACAGCAGTTCCCCTCTGCCGGTGCTTTTTATTGGCATTTATCCATTGTATCACATGGTTAAGAACTTATTATATAATTATTATAGTAATTATATTCCTTCCCGTATGCCAGGGTGAAGGCTGTTTGCTTACAGAGCGGGCTTTCTTGAGCACTCTTTTGTTGCCAGGTTTGCAGGGAGTCAACTCTGCTATGAGGGAGATGACTTACTGCAAAATCTTTGGATTCTTTTTAGCAATAGCGATCCAGTCCTGGTGGCGGGGAACACTGGGACGCCGAAAAGCTGCCAAGAAGAAGTGGGCAGTAGAGACTATCAGAAGGTGCGTAAAGAATAACCCGAGCCATCCGATGAGTACTTATTTCATAACAGTAGGGTGATAAGAACAAACTTTCTTGTCACTACCGCATCAGAGGGTTTTTTTAATAAATTACAACTATTAAGTAAATCCCAGAAAAGGGTTTGGTTGGAAGACAGCTCTAAATATCTCTTAATTTTGATCACTTTTCTAATAAGATTTTCCTCTTCCTCAGGTTCATTAAAGGTTTTATTTACCGGAACCACCCTCGCTGCCCAGAGAACGAGTATTTCCTTGATTACATCCGCTTCTCCTTCCTGATGAACCTCAAGCGTAATTTACCAAAAAATGTTTTGGACAAATCATGGCCAACCCCTCCTCCGTCCCTCTGTGAGGTAGGCACGGCCACACACGGGTCAGATGAAGGAGACGTAGGATGGAGCAGCCTAAGGGCAGAGTTGAAGACCCCAGGCACCAAAGGCCTGCGGGGAAGCCCCTGCTACCAGAGCATGAATGAGCCAGGTTCTGGCTCAAGATCCACGTCACATTAGCATCTCTGCTAGCAGGATTCAATCCGCATGTCATCACATGGGTATAATTATAGCATAGCTGTAATTAGAGCTGTAGTAGTGACAGTTCTCGAGAGTGTGGTGCTGTTGCAACACCATTTTCTACCAGTTTTCTCATCTGTTTCTGAAATTTTCTTCCCTTTTTCTCTGAACACGTTAAGCTCCCTCTGGACAGTTACATCGGCTGCGATGACACTGGGTGCCTGTGCAGAACGTATTGAACTTCCTCTATTGCTGTTGCTATTCTGCATCTGGCAGAATTGGGTTTTTATCCCATGAAAACAAAATATTGCGGAAACTTGCTGTTGACTTCCCTTAGCTGAAGGCCCTTGCTTGTGTGGAGTGCAGGTACAGCCGGGAGCAAGGAAAGGCACGGCGGTGTCAAGGGGATGCTCCCGCTTTTCATTCTCCAGTCTAAAGCAGCTGGAGAATGGTGTGGGGCAAACTCTCTTAGAAAGGTGGAAAATAAACATCCTATTATTAATTTTAAAAACAACCCTCAGGAATGAAGCAGTGTTTTAATTCAGCACTGTGTTTTCTGCAGTTGCTTCTGATCTGTCTTCACTGTTTGGTTTGTCAGCAATTTTGACTATTCTCACTTCTTGTGCGATTTCCTCTCCAGGCCTCGCAACTCCTGCGGCAGCTGTGCATGCAGAACATGGTCTGGACCTACTGCAAGAGAATCAGCCCCGAGTGGAAGCAGCAGGTACCGGGCAACTTCGCCTTATTTATTTCACAAACTACGCTGATGTTCCCCAGAACAGGACGGGAGGTCTCAGCTTTTATTTATTGTCGGAAATGAAGGAGGGGAGCAGCTGGAGGGGAAGGACAAGGGTGCTGCTAGAGAGGGAGGCGCTCCTGAATGGCTGAATTCTTGGGTGGTTGGTGGACAGGCCCACAGGGGTTTTTTTAGCTTAGACACAAACCCCCGAAAGACCAGAATGTGCATAAAAGAAAAGAAAAACCATTATATACCTATTTCAATACATATTATTTAAACTTCTATAGTGAAGGGCCCTGTTATTCTTCCCGTGGAAGATAAAAGTGTAAGAAGCCGCATTATTCTGCTCCTAGTATAGAGAGAGCAGGAATTTTGCAGATGCAAAAGTGGTCATTTTCGAAACAGGGAAGTTACATGAACAGTTACAGCTGCTGTTCTAGCTAAAAAGAATAAAAACAATACTGAAACTTGATTCATCTTAGTCATGGAAAGGCAGAGGGAGGGGAGGTTTTTTTATATTAAAAAAAGCTCAGTGAAGCGTATACCTTAACGAGTTTAGATGTGACTGTGAGGAGAGGATCCTCGCCATTAAGCTTTTCTTTGTTGCAGTATATGGTCCTGCTTTGAAGGCCTGCAGGGGGTTAGGCAGGTGTGAGGAAGCTCTGTGGATTAGTTAGCAGCTGAGCCTGTGATTAAGGACACAGGATTAGTACCAGCCCTTACCCAGCTGGAGGTAGAAACTCAGCAGAACACTTTCTTTTCCCCAGCAAACGAGACCTGCTGAGTGTCCCTTACCCACACTTCACCTGTAAATCATCTCTGGTGCTTTGTTCTGTGCAGTAGCAGCCCCAGGGTGCGTTTGCCCTCAGAAAAGCGAAGGGGAGTTCCTGTTTGCTCACCCACCGGTTTCCTTCTTACTTGGAAGGAGCACAAGTTAGGAGCTAGGAGCACAGGTCACGTGTACAGTGTGGGGCGACTGTATCCTAGAATGCCGCTGCCCTGAAAGGGACCAAAGGTTTGGGGTGACAAATCACTGAAACAGGAACTCCGGGGGCAAGATGGCAGCCAACAGAGTTGCACCGTTACTTGTCAGAGGGTAAGGTAGGGAATACTGAGCAGACCCCAGAGCTGTAACGGATGTGTTACAGGGTGCTAATAAGGACATAACTTCTTGTCAGTACTTCAGGTGAAGGTGCTGACTAGCTGAGAGGCTTCAGGGAGGGGAAAAAATAAATTGAAACATGGAAAAAAGCCGTGTGGGGGTAGAGCAGGAGAACAAACTGTTTAAGCTGAGGGAGGAAGAGGTTAAAGGAATCACTGCTGGGAGAGGATTCCAAGACTTTTTAAACATGGGCATTAGCAAAATCCAGAGACCAGATGCCATGTCCAGATAAATTCAAACCAGAAATACGATGCGTGCTTTTGCGATGAAAGGGGGAAAAAAAAAAAAAAAGGAAATTTCTTTTCTACCCTAAAGATTGGGTGGCTGTTAAAAATATAAGGGATGTAGGGAATATTTTGTGTAATTTTGTGACTTGTATGATTCGGGAAGTCAGAACTAGATGCTAACTGCTAAAAAACCAAAAAGAGAACATCTCTCTCAAGACAAAGTTACCTTTTTATTTAAGGAGACCTTTTATACTAAACAAGAATCCATCTTTTGTCCTTGCAGTTGGAACAAAAAGTGATTGCCAGTGAGATTTTCAAGGGTAAAAAAGACAACTACCCTCAGAGTGTTCCTAGGCTCTTCATCAACACTCGACTCGGTGAGTAGGTGTTGTGAAGCTTCACAGGAAGAAGGGGAGGATTAATCTACTCTTGCTAGAAATTTCTCTTTCTGACCCCACCTCTTTGGTTTTAATACAGGTAACGAAGAGATAAATGCTAAAGTCCTTCAGGCTTTAGAAAGTGAAGCAATTAAGGTGAGATATGTGCCCTAATACTTGTCAAGCTTCTGGAATTCCTCAGCAGAATATCGGATGATTAGATTCCTGAAGAAAATGCAGCAAGGCTTTTACCTTACACTAAGCTTGTAACACCTTAGGAGATAGCCTGTGGGAACAGCTGACAGCTGAGAAATAGGATTTTGAGATTTGGGCAAGTTTGTATCAGTTAAGAATTGAAGGGGTTGCAGCTGGCATGGCTGGAGAGGAAAGGAGCGATGAAGCAGCTTACACAGACTGAAGCTAAAGCTGGCTTTTTCAAGCCCACAGCCAGACAGCTGTAGTCATCAGGTTAGGGTCCAGAACTCAGCAAGGAAGTCTGTGCCAGAACTGAGGATGGGACACAGAAGCTCTGTCTCCTGTCCCAGTTTACCAACCACTGGCCAGTACCTCCCACAGGCTCTCTAGGCTGGAGGGAGGGTCGCTGACCATTGAACAAGTTGCATTTTTAGCACTGTTAACACTTATTTCAGTATGCAGTTCCTGTGATCAAGTATGACCGGAAAGGATACAAAGCAAGAGCACGGCAGCTGCTTCTTACCCAGAACGCAGTCGTCATAGTCGAAGAATCCAAAATCAAACAACGAATCGACTACGCCAATCTGACAGGTGAGAAGGGGAACATAAACGGGGTTTGGCTCACTTGACTGAAGCCAGATGTCACCTTGGCTACAGTTAAGCAATAATGAAGTAACCCATTTGTCTTTGTCCTGGACAAGAATGTAATTATGTGGTACTGACAAGCATTTTAAGTCTGTAATATCTTGAAACGGAATTTTTTTAAAATTAAATGCCATAAAATGTCACAAAAATTACTCAATTCATCTCCCCGAGCCCCTTCCTAAGCCATTTCCCAATTGTGCATCTCTACCCCAGGGGAGTTGCGCCATTGTTACACAGCAGCGGCTTGGGATGCTGCTCCAGCCTTCACCCCTCTGAATATTTGACACAGACTTGATACTTTTGGAGGGGGGAACTCTTGTCAGACAGAGGCAGCTGCTGTGTCTGGTGCATCGTAGTCATTGCTTGGCTTTGGCTGATGCCTCTTGCTTCACAGCCTCGGCTCCAGCTCTGCTGCACTTCCTCTTCACAGGCAATTGTGGTGCTAATCATTTTGCTGTTAGCCTGATGCAACCATCTCCTGCATTGGTAACTGTCAGCCTTTGATGTGGTTTCCAAGGGCAACACTAATTTGGGGTTCTGTGACTCCCATAAGACGCTATTACAGCATAGATGTACGTTTATCTCTGCTAGGGTCAATTTAAATAGCTAATCCAGATTGTATCAAGATATTAAACAAAGTCCAAAAATAAACTATGAAGAAACACAGCACAGTGCTCCTCAGCCTACCCCAGGGAGAGCATTTCTTTCATTTAGCAAACACCAGCAGCTCGTGGCAGAGGCTGAGCCCCTTGCTGGAGGAGTAGAAATGCTGAGTTCAGAGCCCGAGTCGGCCACAGAGCAGCTTAACGAGAACCTGCAGCAGCCCGGGACTGGCTCTGAGGAGCAGGACACCAGCAGGCGGGCATGGGGTCAGCCTGGCCCCAAGCCTCGCCGCGGGGCAAGCAAGGAATTCACAGCGCTGAGAACTTTCTGGAGCCAGGCTCCCAGCACAGCTCTGGCCCCTCTCGCCACGTGCGGCAGTGGGGGGCAGGTAACAGTGACCACATTGTTCCAGTTGTCCGTCTGCTTCCTCCTACTGCAGTAATTGCACCACTCACCCACTGGGCTCGAGTGAAGTCTCTGTCCTGTGGGGGCTGAAAAGTAAAGTTTTGGTCACAGGTCCCTTAGTTGGCCAAAGCAGCTCATTTTCAAGTCCTGAGGGCCACGACAGTTTGCAAATGTATTCTTCCTTCTTCTGATGGAGAGAGGCATCTCAAAGTTTCTTTTCCATCGTGAAGAGCACAGTTTCAGCTGATTGTCTGTCACCTTGCAGCCCCTTCTGTCACCTTCTGTGTCTCTGCTGGCACGTTACCGCGGTGCTGCCATGCAGCTTCTCAGCTGTCGGGTTTCTTGGTGCGGGAAGAGCAGTTGCTGCGTTCCTGGGAGAGGTTCTGAAACGCGCGCGAGAATCCCGGTAGAGTTGCGTTGGGTGTCAAATGGCCGTTCTCTATTGCAGGCATCTCCGTCAGCAGCCTGAGCGATAACTTGTTTGTGCTGCACGTGCACTGCGAGGATAACAAACAGAAGGTAGTGGGACTCATCCATCATTTCTCCAACCACCTCTAGAAAATGTTTTAAAGGCACAAAGAGGAGACGCTCCAGCTGGGGAGGGAGGAGGGCACACATGGCGCCATGTATGTAACTTTGTGCCAGCTCAGTAGCATTTTGCTTGCGCTCATGGATGGGGTTTGCCATGACCTGTTCACCAACAGGGCTGGTGCTGTCCCTTGCCCCCCCGTTACTGCTACCTTGTAAATTAATTAACTGCCATGGGTGCAGCCTGACCCCCCAGCAGAGCCCCAGAGATTGCCACCAAGCCTGGGTGACTTGGAGAAGCGTTTTCCACCCTGACCTAAGGGGACACTCCTGTCCCTGTTCATGACCATTTTGGCACACTGACACTGTAAAGCCACAAGTCATAAACCACGCTCTCTCTCTTCCCTCCCAGGGAGATGTTGTACTTCAAAGCGACCACGTGATCGAGACACTAACAAAAACCGCCATGCAGGCAGACAAAGTCAATAATGTCAACATCAACCAGGGCAGGTGAGTGAAGCCAAACCCCTCTCAGGAGCTGCCATGGTTTTCTTGTGTTGGTTCTGCAGAGAGCTCTGCTTCAGCATTGAAGGGCTACAGAAACGCACCTATACGACATCAAAACGTACCTCGTACAGCTTAGCTAAGGCTCTGTTTCCTTGAACAAGCAGCTCTGGCACAGCTGAGCACCAATACAGAGCAGCCACTTACTTACACAGGGAAAGGGAAAAACAGAGCTTGTGGAGAGGTCACAAGTGCTCATCATCAACTCTGTTCTTACCCCTTTCTTTCACAGCATGAGCAGCCACTTACTTACACAGGGAAAGGGTAAAACAGAGCTTGTGGAGAGGTCACAAGTGCTCATCATCAACTCTGTTCTTACCCCTTTCTCTTCACAGCATAAAATTTACAGTTGGGCAAGGCAAGGAAGGGATAATCGACTTCGTATCGGGATCAGAACTGCTCATAGCCAAAGCCAAGAACGGCCATCTAACAGTGGTGAGTACAGGCCGAGGCTGCTACGAAATGGTGGGGCCTTACAGCGGAGCCAAACCCAGATTTTGGCACTAAACCCTGTTTGCAGCAGATGGACGCGTGCCCCATCGCTTCCTTGCTGACCACACTGCCCCACTCCACCAGCCCTTTCCCCGGTGGGAGCTTCTCCTCCTGCAGTCTCCAGAGACCGCCAGGCTTACCCAAACTCATCAAGGGCTCCTCCTATCAGTCACAGGGTGGTTGGGGTTTTTTTTTCTCCCCAAGATTCAGGCTTTAAAGCTGTATTCTGTAGCACATCAAATTTTAGAAAGACCTTTAAAAACACAGGAAGCAAAAATCCTCTTCCCTTCTCAAGATTGTTTGTAGTCTTCCTGCTCATCAGGTGTAGCCACGCACCTCATTTAGGCACTGTCAGATTAAAGGTTGCTCAGCACTAAATCCAGAACACATTTGTACTGCGCTCACCCCCTGCCGGCATCAGAGCCCAGAGCACGCTCCCCATCCTGCTGCAGGCTGAGCCGCCTCACAGCAGCCATCAGTGCTGCCCCTTGGCTCTTCACTGACCAGCCCGTCCTCTGAAAAGCCACAACTGGGGCACTGCCAAAGGCTCCCCTTTACACGCCTGTAGGTGTGTAAAAGATTAAATTAGCATAAGGATGCAGGAATGAGGATCAGGCCCAAACCAGGATTTGCTCTTGGTAACAGCAAACCAAGTAATGACTTAGACTGTGAAGAAACACAGCCCGTGAGTTTTTTCACAGCCGTTTCAAACCCTCCCTAGGAACATTTTTCCTCAGCAAAGCCAAGCCACCTTGCACTGCTGCCCTGGAGGAGGTCTCAGTAGAACCACGGGCACAGGGGTGTAAGGGCGCAGCGCGCTCCTCTGACGCACTCGGTGCCAGTATCGCTTTGCTCCCTGCAGACCGGGCCGCTTCAGAGCGGAGCGACCTTTGCAGGCTGTGGCTAACAGCTGAACTCTACACGCCCCTCCTTGGCGAGGTTTGGGAGCGAAAACTGTTGCAGCATCTTTGTTTTAAACACACGTTCTAGCTTTGTCCTTCTCCCGCAGGTTGCTCCGCGTTTGAATTCTCGATGATAAAACATGCCACCACGACAGGACCTTCCCCTCCCTCCAGCTCCACCCTATAGAATTGGCTGGACAGCGTTGCCAGCAAAATCCCCCCCTTCCTTGCTTTGCTCGTTTTGTTTATTGTTACCAAAGACCTGCACTTTCAGAAAAACCACACCATGCATCCTGCTTTCTTGTCTTAATACGAAAGTTCCAGAAGAAAGGCCTTCTCTTCCTTACCTTGGTGGCAAACGCATGGGTCCAACGCAACGCCTGTGAAACCATGGCTCATGAAACGCAAATCAGCTGGGCTTTGAGGGAGAGGCAGCTCCGACTCTGTTAGAGAGTTTAAGCCCTGATGGAAACGACCAAAATTTGTGCTTGCCATCATCAAAAAGCGCAATCAGAGAACAAGTAACTGCTGCTTCGTCAGCCCAAGCCAGGAAATGCCAAACTTTATATTCAGAAAGAATGTTTTATGAAGAATTTTGCTCCGAGATGTTTTGATGCTTTGTGTTACGATATATTAAAGCCATATTGTGTAAATGAGTAAAACCCTGTAAATACTTTATAGCCGCGTATGAGCGATGCACTACAGGAAATGGAGTTGATGTGGAAATGTTTATGTTTTTAGATTTGGAAATTTTGTTGGGTTTAGTTTATGATTGTAAGGTATTAACCTGAGAAACCCATCACGTAGCTTCTTCACCGATCCAGAGCCTCAGTACTTTTTTCTTTTTTAAGTCACTGTCCCAGCTCTGTGCTGTTATTTTTATACCATAGGAACTTTTTCACATCCAAACAAAATGTCAAACTGCAGAGGCCACCACTTCTCTCTGCCGCTCCAGGCTGGAAATGAAACCCGTACTGCTTGGCCAGAGGATGCGCACAGGAGCTTCCCCTCCCACCTCGTACCCGCCCGGGAGTCACCACTGCCCTGTGCTCCTCAGGCTCAGAGCAGCGCCTTCAGGAAAAGTTGCTTTTCCTCTTGTTTTTAGCCATAACTGGAAGTTTGAGTTTCCACAATGTTTCTCTCAACGCCTCTCAGTACTGCCTTAAAGAGGAAGAGGGGGCTGGTTCAGCACTGCTGGCAGCTCCTTTGCATGGAAGCATCTTCCCAAGCAAGCTGTGTCCCTCCAGTTTAACCCAGCGCTAGAAGGAAAACGCGTTTTGAATGCTAACCGGTCTGGGACTGCAGCACAGAGGTTAATACTGAGCACCTTCATTTAACAAAGAACCCCACTGGCTCCAAGGGGGACAGCTACGTGTCAAATACCTGCTGACTGCAACTCACAGCTCCAGCTTCCACGTCCCAGACCTCAGACCGTGCATTTTGCACCCAACTTGCCTTAGAGATCCTTCACCTTCCACCTCCACCCTGGCGCAGCACCAACACCCATCACAGTAAAGCCCCAGATGAGATGGAACCAAACATGTCGCCACCCCCATACGATCAGCTCGGTCTCCTACTTTTTGGTTTCTGACACGATGCAGTTACCAAACACTGCCCCAGGCCTGGAATGCTGTATACACTGTAGTACATATACACTGTACCCTGTATATGCTAGAGTGTATATGCTATACAATGCTGTATACGCTATTATGTAACCTCTTCCAGACTACGCTCAATAAATTTTTACAAAAAACCCCACCCTACACCTTGTCTTTGTTGTAGAAACTGTTCCATCACGTTTCTTCGTTTCTGAGAGGGAGGGTACCAGTGTGTTTCCTCATTCACGGCAGTATTCCCGTTTCCCTGCACCCTACCCACCTCACTGGAGCAGGTGAGCAGTGCCGCAAGGGCAAGCGAGAGGAACGCACCAACCAGATCGTGGCTTCTGGTGCGTCCGGGGAAGGGCAAGACTGAACCAACCGTCTGAAGAGCTGCTGCCGCCTCCTGCTGCAAAGCGGGGCCCTCTCCCAGGGGGCTGCCTCACGGCTACGCTACTTACGCACAGGACTGGGATCTCACTTTATCTCATGGCTGAAGAACAATGCTGTTACTTCTCTTTCTCTCTCTCCCCCTCCAAATGCTCCTATTGCAAGCAACAAAGGAAAGTTATTCTCGCCAAAATAACTAAAATATGAAAGAAAGTCATAGTAATATTTGGCATTTTTAATTTAGGTTTGTTTTATTTAAGTTTAATGTTAATTCCATGCTGTGTTTCAGTAAGAACAATACAGATTCTGTATCTGTGGCTCCAGTCAGATATCCAGTAGTACAAATTAGCTTCAAGTTACACATACTGAACAAAAGAGGTTGAGCGAGCGAAGGGAGATGGGGAAAGGGGAGGGAAAAAGAAAAAATATTGAACACGCATGCAGGCTTATCAATGCCACCTTCAATGCTAACCTGCTTTGAGGAAAAGTAAAGAATAGGCAAGAATGAGCAGCCACGGATTGTTGAACTGTTACCAGCACCATGATTTTCAGCAACATTTCAGCAGTTGGGAAACTTTTTGTTTTTATACAGTAAAACCACTACAATATATGTCCCAATGCAACCTGTAACTTCAAGCGAAACACCCAATTAAGTTTAAACATTGGTATAAAATTCAGTTTTAACAGTTATAAAAAAGAAAAATGCCACCACATGCACACTACCTTGCCATAACAGATCTCTCCCCTAGGAGTCTAACGGCCTTCAGGTGTAACATCCACTCTAATGGCAACCTCGCCACATCTGGCAGGAGACAATACAGTAATGCTGAAAGAGCCTTTACGCAGTCCTGTTAGTGTCTTAAAGAACCTAAAAGCTGGCACCAGTAAAATCCACAGAAATTCACTCTTGCCTTTAAGAACTTTTAAACTGTGTAAAAAAAATAAAAATAAAGAAACCCAACAGGGCAGGAACCTAAATTCTGAGACCCAATGTAAAAGTCAGATTTGGTGGTTCTCAGAGTGACACTGAGGGTTTTTGTGGGGAAGGGGAAAGGGTGGTCAGAGATGGGTTCTCTTGTTGGCCTTTGTGTCTCACTGGTTTTCATCTTCCACATCCTGCAGCGCTTCTTTATTCTGTTCTTCACCTGTGGAAGGGTTTAAAAGAAAGGGAGATGTTAACTCTTAAAAATGAGGCCTGCAGAATGTCTTAACAAGCACCTAGAGATTAATAGTTTCATGCAAGTACACACGCTCACTCACACGCTTGCCTAAACGACACACACACACTCGCAATACAGCCAGTTCTGGAGTGAAGCGTTTCCATGGAAATTAAGCCCTATAATCACCCCGTCACATTTCATACGGAACTGTAGCACAGGCTACTGGAAGACTGCTCTGTCGTGAGGACAAACAACAAACCCCCGTTCTGAAAACTGAGACCGTGCATGTGACCAGTCCTGTTGATCAAGAGATGAACAGCCTAAAGTTATCAGAGGGACTGTAGATCAACATCCTTAGATCAGAACGTACCTTCCCCAAAACCTCATCTCTACTCCAGAGCGCGCTAAGGACATCTGTTCACTAGCTACAGAAGTGGGACAAAAGAGTTTTTAGAAATCAAACTTCTTCTGCCCCAGTCCACTCAAGTCTCAATAGCAAAGTACTGCAGTCAATTTTATAAAACAACCCTGCTAGCATGTATCATTAAAGTACCAAAACTAGCATGAAAAAGCCATCCCTACTTCAAGCCCAACTTGACAAGAAACCCTAGGCTTGAGGTTATTAAATGAAAACATTCCGTAGAAATTAATTTATCTTGAAAAACCGCCACTTTGGACCTATGCAACCAGGCTGCGGCATGCGGTGAAATGGAAGCCTATCCACAGTCCCCTGTAGTGTTTGGTGACGCTGCAGCCGCCCCTAGGGGAGATGCATGCAACACCTTCCACACATCTCTGCCCGAGCTCCACTGCAACAGGAAAAAGTTTAATGCACTTCAGCTAGTGCCACAACACATGCGCGATTAAGTTAATTGGTAAGAGAAACTGAAAAATGTTTTCTTTACAATTATCCTTAACCATGTGTGATGGTACTCTAAGGGCAATAAACAAAACCTACCCATTCAAAAAAATTCATTTGCCATAAAATCCTATCAAAAGAGACTAATGACTGTCAGCATATAATCAGAATACCTGCCCAGAGCATGCCCAGATTCAGAATTATCACTGGGTACAATACAGGGCAGATTTTGGAAGAGGTGGCCTAGGAACACTCAACATCTCACATTCAAGAACAATAAAATTTACAATTAAAATTATGTAGCAGATCATTTGGGAAGGGAAGGGAGAGGCCCTAACCCAGGATGATGATTAAAAGAAGATCTGAGCATGCTCTAGCCAACGCAGTTAAGCAAATACTCCTGTAACAGGCAACTGTGAAAGTACTTTTCATGCCCAAATATTCTTAATATCCATCCAGGTATGCAGCTCAATTCCCAAACATGTCAGTTACTTTGGATCTTAGTCAAGCGCATTGGATCTGGGTAGGGGCAACAGGTCACAAACTGGTAGAACATTGCTTAGCCCTGGAATGGAGTCAAAGATACAAGCAGTTTATCAGCAGCAAGAGAGTGACAGAGGCAAGCACGATTAGTGCTCGGACGAAATTTTAGAGACACTGAAAAGTTCATTAAGCCATGACGAAGACTTACAAAGTAGAGTTTTTAGGAAATGAACAGTTGGACTTTCCTTTAGGAATCTATACAGCAGGAAAGAAGGGGAAAACAGGAATCATATGAAGACGACATTACAAGCGTGAAAATAAACCAAACAGCTCGCCTATGACATGGTTAAAAGATACAGTAAATGAGATGGAAAGAAGCTTAATGCAAGAGAACAAGCCTTTTTCGAGCCTCCCCCGCCCCTCAGGGAACTGGTAATGGGATGCTCTCTCTCAGTGCCACTATTAACTTTTACCAACCTTCAAAGGCCCTACCCGTGTTGGAAGTACAGTGTTCTGGAAGCAACAGTTTTAAGGGCACTCAGTCAGCGCATTAGCACTGTATGAGGAAATGAGAAAACTTTACACCCATGTCTAAACATCATGCATAAACATCGTATTTGTTGTGGACCTGAAGAACTGCACCACCATTTTAAGTAGTTCTGCAGTATTTTGAATTTTGTAATCATTACCTTTCTGGCATGCATCATAAACAGTAACTAGGATAACTGAAATAGTTCAGGAAGAACAAAAATATCTAGTAAGTGCTATGGAGCTAAATATGAAACAAGAAATTTGAATCTAGATTATGCAAAAAGAAATATAAAGAGCCTCTGTAAATAATCTTGTTGAACTTCTATGATATACGAGCTACATGAGACACGTTAGTCAGCTCACATGCAAATAAAGACAGCTTTTGGAAGATGTTCTAATGCTACTATCTCGCAGCAGCAATCCAGCCTTGTTACTTCACCGAAATGGCTTCCTCTGTGTTCCCACAGAGGTCTAGGACATTTGGCTCCATCAAAAAAAGTAAAACAAAAGCTCATGTCTTCATTGTGGGAACTGGGAACAAATTCCTTTTTCCAATGCCTAACCATGGCAAGGAAGGCATCTAGCAGTACCCGCAGTATTTAGAGCGGAGTCTGTACAGATCCATCCAGCTAACATACATATGCTTCAGCACCATTAGATAATCTTACATCTTCGAAAGCGAGGTTGTGGTCCCTTGCAAGAGACTTAAGCACTAGGATGTAGGGTAACCTAGGAGCCAAGTCCCTGCATATTCAGTTTTCCCAGTTCTGTCAAAAGCCCAAAGGAACAGGGGTAAAACGTGACCTGCAACGTTCAGTGCTCATGATCTGTGCAAAGAGAGAGAAGCTATCAAGTAATAATACCTCTTTAAAACAAACCCATCCATCCTACACAAAAACAGGCAGTCAGTAAAAAGAGATTCTACAACTGCTTTCAAATAGACACACCAATAAAGTACTCCAAAGTAATGCTGTACAGCTATCATGGTTCTTCAAGTAACAACTTACAAAAAAAAATTAAGACATTTATTTATCTGAAGTTAAGCAGCAATGTTGTTTCAAACCTCTGTGCTAACAGAGCTAACATACTTTAAACAAGACTGAATTCCCACCACCAAAGTTAAGAGTAAAGAAAGTCAGCTCTTTCCACTTGTCTCTCCAGGGCATGATTTTTGCAGACAGAGAAATAATCACTACCAATACTCAGCAAAACAGAAGGCATAGCTCAATAAAACCTAAACGAGTAAATTTATACTTGGCATTGTATGCAGAAGTGTAAGAGGAAAAACTCCATTTGGTATGCCAAAAACCACTTTTAAAAATGTAAATAACAATCAGATGTTAGTAAACAGAAGCAATCAATGTCCCACCCCCTGGTACTGCCAGGGGATATATTCAGTATTTGCTCTGGCAATAGCCCACTTCAGGAGTCACAACCTAGCATATCTGGGGGTATTAAAGAAAGTACTTCAAACATCTCAAATAGCAAATTAGATTTCCCCAACATTTTTTTTTTTTTCTGGTAACAAAGTATTTTACAAAATCCCTTTTTTCCTTTTTCCTCTTTTCTTCATACTCAATTCTTTATGAGAAGAGTAAAAAATATGATTAGTGCTGTAAGGTGAAGTGATTAGTATGATGGCAGTAAATCTTCCACTAAAATGCCAACAAATATATTGGGTGACCTTGGGGGGGAAAAAAAAGTGAACTAGATCATTTGCAATACTCCCTCCTGCACTGGAAATTCACATCTGGTTGGAATGACAACCATAGATGAACATGACAAGCCGTAAGAAAGAAAAGCTGAATTAAACAAAGTCACTGCCTTTAAAATAATTACAGACACCTAAACAGCCAGGTGGGGACAAAAAAACCAAACCACCCTACTAATTCCACACCTCCTTCCTTCAAGTGAGAGCTGAAAAGCTTCTCAAAAAAGCTGGTGTCACCCCTATCAACCTATCCAGTGTTTAGAAAGGACAGAAGTTCAGGAAAGTCCATTACTAGGAAAGACAGAAGTAAAACACCAAACCAATCTAGATTTCCATGTTCTGTTTTCTGGGCAAAGACATGGGGACAGCAGCATTTAGAGCAGTTTACTTACCATCACCCTGCATGTCTGAAGTCCATAGTGTCAGATTATCACGTAACAACTGCATGATAAGTGTAGAGTCCTTATAGCTTTCTTCACTCAGTGTATCCAGTTCTGCAATAGCATCATCGAAAGCTGCTTTTGCCAACCTATGAGCACAGAATAAGTCAGATTTAACACATATTGCTAAACAGAAGTCAAACCTGTGCCTCAAAACACCCATCTTCTAAATTTGGCTACATGACATCCATAGCTTCTGTAACAAAGTTTGTATTATTTAGCCAGTGTTTCTATGTTCATCCAAATACCTCCCATCTTCAACGCCAGTTACTTTGAGTGCTCAAGAACAGTATCTTTTTACTCAAGAATATTAGTTTTATTAAACATTTCTACACCTTGAGGTACAACTGATCGAAGTCTGCTAAAAGCTTAAAAGAAAGTATATTACATAACCTGCGATGACAGGAATAGGAGACAAATGGTAATTTGCTTCATTCCTCACTTTTATGCTCATATGAGCTGAACCCCTACAGATAGATGAGCTACTGTCATTCTATACATGCTCAGTTCACATATATGTAAACAGTTCACAGAAATTAAGACAACCCCTCTTACCTTGTACAATAGCCAAGAGCAAAAGAGGGAATTTAAATCACCTCATGCTTTTTGCAGCATAAAGACATGCAGAGCTAACATGGCAAGCTGTTAAACTGCCATTAGTCAGTCAATCCAAGGTTATCACTGTTCTGCTTCTCATACATTATCTACTCCCAGATAAATGGGTCTGGACTCAGGAGGTAATGGGAAAGTTGAAAAGCTTTCTGATGAATTGACCTTAAACAGAGCAAATCATCAACTACTAGCAGGAAAAAAGCCAGCCCAGAGTTTCTGTTGACGAAAAGCAGTTACCCAAGTAGCAAGCACTTCTGGCTCGTTTGGTCTTCACAGAAGTTTTCTCCATCTTCCCAGTCACTACCTACCTGCAGGCACGATCAGGAGAATTAAGAATTTCATAGTAGAATACAGAGAAGTTGAGCGCAAGTCCTAAGCGGATAGGATGTGTTGGTGGGAGTTCTGTCATTGCAATATCACTAGCAGCTTTATAAGCCACCAAGCTATTCTCTGCAGCCTCCTTCCTGTCATTCCCTGTGGCAAACTCAGCCAGATACCTATGGTAGTCCCCCTTCCTGAAAACCGAAACAGAACATACAGTAAGAAGTCAGCAGTCCTTATTTCCCCACCAGCCACTAAATAAACAGTTTACAGGTAAACAGTTCCAAACCTGATGTTTATATATTCACACACTAAGGACACTGCTGCTGAATTACTGTCTAGACAACAGTGCATTAGTACTTCAGTGAATTTTAAACCATGAGGCAGGAAAACCAGTTTGGGTTTATCTACTTTCTTGCACTAGTACACAAAATCATAGTATTACCCAACCATTTCTCTGTATAACTGCATCTCAAACTAGACAAGTTTTTGATCTGAAGGACACAGATAATTCAACTAGAGGGGAAAACACCGATCAAGATTTAAACTATACTTCAGAAGTACAAAATATGCATCAAACTAGTGACTACAGGAACATACTCCAAGACCAAGTTTCACTTGATAATGCAATTTTGAAGTTGGCACTACATGACAGTTACTTGTCCACCTAATTTTCTTCTCTTTATGAGGAGTGTACAGCTCATGCAAGAAAACACTGAATCAGGCATGGGGCCTCTACATTATTAGCTCAATTAAAGAAAATGGTTACTTCTTACATCTAAGAGCTGTAACAACAGCTTACGTTAAGCTCTCATGACCTTACTCCAAACAACATCATTGTCCAAAACTACATGATCAGGACACCAACACCTCAACGGTAGCCAAAAAGGGACATTGGTTAAATGTGACTGAGCTGCCCTCTTTCTAGAAGAGGCTACTGTGGTGGAGTGGGCAGAAGACATGTATAGCTACTTTATTTCTATCTCTAGCTCAGATACATAAGAGGTCCTTGCCTCTCAAGAAGATACTTACATTTTGTAATAGAAAACCTTGGACTCGCCAGTGTTAGCTGCTGGAATGAGGTGTTTGTCCAGTACATCCAGAATGTCACAACAGATTAACTTCAGTTCAGTCTCAACCTGTAAAAAACAAAAACAAAAAGCCAGGTTAGCACATAAGGCTAAAAGCTATTTCAAAAATATCCAAATTATCAAACAGGCAACATTATAAAAATCCAAGGAGGGAGAGGACAGAAGAAAAACAACAACAAATTCAGCTGCTCCACAGGTGCGTTAAGCGTAACAGTTCTGTGTTATTAGTTGGCACACAAAAGAGGCAAGGACTGATGTATGATGAAATGCATAACTGAATAATGGAATTATAAATTCCCTGGAAAACATCTTGCTAGACAGTTGCATTAAGTCTGTCTCAGGATAATTCCTTACTGCAAGGCTTGCACAACTCCTAATTCCTTAAATTTTTGATCCTGGAAGGCTACCCTAAAAGAGGCAATGGTGAAGGGGTCAGTTTGAAGGTAATTAATACAAATCCATTCCACCCCAGAGTTAAATGGCATCTTCAGAACAAGTTTCTAGTAACTACCTGTTAGAGCTTTGCCTCCCAAAAGAGCCTTAAGACAAAAATCATGGAGCATCAGAACAGAATAAAGATGTGCTACACAATCAAAAAGATCAGATACGAGAAGAAAACAAATTCCACAAGATACAAACTTCAGAAGCAGGCAAAAAAAGCAAAGCACAGCAAAACTTAGAGGAAAAAAAAAGAGAAATCATCAACACTAACAGTGACATCTGTGGCCAAAGAAAAACAATATATAAAGTCTTATTTAAAAACAGATATTTGATTTTAATAGCCAAAGTTGAAAACATGGTCACATGACCTTCATTTTTTCTAATTCAGAACATAAAGCAAGGTCTATGGGGTTAGGTTTTACCAGAAAGTTTCACACCTGAAAGCAAAGAAACTAATCATATCCAAAAAAAGCTAAAAACTGTCTTTTGACATCAACATTGCCAAAACCAGACTCGCTGTGAGCACCCCATGTCATTCACAGTAAGAGTGGGTGGTTAAGTGCAGGCAGTAACCTATTGCTGCTCTTTCATGATTTCACAGTAACTTTCATAGCTACAGCTGAAGACAACTCTGGCTCAAACTACTCATGTACTATAAAGTAGAGGTTTTCAAGCAAACATTAGTTACAAGAAACTACCAGTACCTGCATGTTTTGGATCACAAGAGCAGCCGCCCCACTCAGTCCACTATTCCTTCCTATCCTCCCACCCATGCAGTTTTCTCTCCTTCTTTCTTTAAGCATTTTTCTTGCCATGTAGTATTTTTAGCACCATACAGCTCCCACACTATTAGGGTTTGTAACCACAACATCTATCCTCAAAAGCTGCTGAAGTTACAGATCCAAAATAAATGTTACACTGGCACATACACACACATACTAATTTGCACAAAATGACTTAACAGATTTGCAGAAGTTCCGTTAGAGAAATTAATCTACTGCAAATTTCATATACAAACAATGTCAGAATGCCCTAACATTCAGAGGAAGAGTTAGATTCTATACTTAAAGTTACAGGACAAATGCTTAAGGAAGTTGCTGAAATATGGTCACTTGAGAAGAATCTACTTCATATATTCTTGGGCTACAAAAGCTATAAAACCTTTGGCCAGCAGTCAGTTCCTGCAAACTTCTTTCCTCTTGATCCTCTTTTTCAATGACTTCTTTTGCAGAGAGATCTTCAGCAAAACTGCAAAGAATTAAATCAGTTTCTAATCCTCTTTTGTTAAATAACCATACACGTACAAACTTCTATTTCATCTCAGACAGACTTTTTTCAGCTTCGCTTAAAGGATCAGTCACACAAGTTATCAGAGATTGGCTGCCATCCAGGGCAATGTAAATGTCCTGACCAAGCTTAGTTTAAAAAGATTTCATACAAATCAAGTTGATTAAGAACAATACAACAAAACCCCAGAACAAAACCCTAAAAGCTCTTTTACGAAAAGGATCTGTTCTAGACAGAGTGGCTCACCAAGCTCTGCAAAGCGGCGAACCAGCACAAGAGCCTGTACTAAGCCTGTTCAGAAAAGGCAGGTTTAGGGTCTATCACCATTCCAGCTCCAAATATGACATATGGTACTACAGGCTCTGACCAGCAAGGCAAGACTGCTCACCCCAGTGGGGGTGGTAAAAGCCCCCCCAGTCCACCCTGCCTCTCTTTATTTTAGTGGTAACGCTGGCTTAGCTTCCAGACCATGTTCTTACCTCTGCAGATACAAAAGCTTGTAAACCACCTGGTCATCTAAATAAGGAAACTTATTAGAAGCAACCAGGGGAAGGGTAGCCTGTACTCCTTCTTTGACCTGTTCTAATATGTAGCTGCCAAAACAGCTGCACCTCACAACTGAGATGCAACATGAAACTAGAACAGTAGGAAACAGTTGCTAAAGCCTGTAACCTACATCCCTCCCACCCAGGCCAAAACAAACAGACCCCCCACCCACACTTGCGCCAATTCATAGCCTAACCTTTCTAAGAGGGGAAGAGCGATGCAGCTGCCCAAGAACACAACCCCAGCTGTAAGTCAGAGCACTAGAAACACACGTTCTCATATACCACAAATACAGATCAGTAAGAAGGTGGTGAATACTTGTCCTATGCTATTGGGGAAGGGATTTGGTTTTACCACAAGGAAGCAAACCACATTACGTGCAGACATACACCACTTCATCCTCTCAGGGATGAAGAACGCAAGCTTCAGTGTGTTCTCATCTACAGAGATGCAGTCAGATGAAAAAGCCAGGGGCTCCACTTCCGAGTGTCCAAATGGCCACAGGACCCAGAAAAGCAGCCTGTCTACAAAGGAAGTAAGTGGCATTTTTCCCCCATGGCTATGTATGTGTTTTACTACATTTATCTTGAGTGGCTTTGGTAAAGGCACAGCCTGGCATCTTCCATCATCTCTCAGTGTTGCCTACTACATGCCTCAGAAAACCAGCCTGGCCCTACTCTGACACTACCATTGTCCCTGGAGTCATGCCCCAGCTCAACAAACTCCAAACATTTTTAAGACCCATGTGCTAAATTATAATAAATACTGATGTAGATCAAAACCATAGAATTAATTACTTTCATACAAACTACACCTTTCATTTCAACTCGAGCAGCACTCTACAGCTGAGCAAGGTCACACCTGGTGGTAGGCAAGAAATGCGTTTTTCTAGGGATGCTGGTTCTCTCCCACTCCCCAGTGCTTTGAACTTAGCCTGTCAGGCAGTGTGTTTTAGTGGTTTTTTTCTTCTACAGAGCCTTTCAAGCCTGCAAAGGATTTCCCAACAACACCGAACTTTTTTTTAAACTGCTATGGTTATTTGTTGACAGGGTAGCATAACGAGAACTCTGATGAGTCTGTGCTGGACCTTATCTGTTCAGAAAAGCACCGAGCATGACAACAGGGCAGCTGTGCTAGTGTTCCAGCAGTGACAATGAGAAGCATCATCCAAACCTTTGCAAGATGTTCTTCAGGCCCTTATTGCTCCCGTGCCATGTTGCCAAACCCATTAACACTCTTGTTATAGCAGATGCTAACTCACAGTAAGCCTCCCAGCAGCTGCCAATGGGGCTTGGTCTTCAGCTACAGACAATACATAGAAGCCTCTTGGAAAACTCAGGCTGGAGTCAAGTAGACACTTGTGGTCTTTCTCCAGTACAGAACTACATTACTGTCTCCACAGCACTCTTCCACCTAAAGCAACTGTGATAGCTATTCCCTTCAAGGATTTAACAGCTGAAGATACTGTTGGCATGGCACTGCACTTCATGTGGCCTCTCCTCTCTTGATAGATAGATACCTCAAGGACTACATAGATTTAGGTCTTGCACACCAGCCTGTTCTGCATGGTACTTGCTCTCTTTACAAAGAGAGATGCAGAACGATGCCTTTTTTACAGTCCTTTCAAAAACAAGAGTCTTTTCATGATTAAAGGATCCTTGGCAGAAGATAGTAACGGCTCACAAAACATTATGCAAAAAGAACTGGAAGTACACAGTGTAAGACAAAGTTAAACAATCATCAGACAGCTATTGTCTTATATGTTCTGTTAGAAAGATTTTAGACACCCATCAAGAAATGGTATTTGGGACTGTATGTAACTGGCAGAGCCTCATCCCACCGGCATGTCAGAAACTCACAACTTTAACAATTCCATGAAGCAACGGAAACCCTATGAGTCAACAGAAAGTACTCCAGAGCCATTCCTGAGAAAAGATTTCCAAGCCAACATTTCCATTGGTGGTACATGAATCAGTGCCAGGTGATATAATAGACTCCACTGTTTCTCTGGAAGTGAAGATCTGAACCATGTGGAGGCACTTGTCCTCAAATAATGGAGATTAAGTCTCTGCAGATATGCGTGGGATTTAAACAGTACGGGAGCATGCCTGCTCCGCGCTAAACCATCATTTAAAGAGGGGAGGAGGGGGAACAACTCGCTGTAATAGCTGAAGGTTTCACGAGCCCTTACCGATGAAAGTCAAAGCTCGCTCCAAGTTCTCCATTTTAGGTAAAGTTGCACAGACTGGCTAGACTCAGCATGAAGTTATGTGCATCAATTTCTCCCCCTCTCAAGAGAGAGAAAATAGCAAGGCCCTAGAGGTTATTACACATGCAAGTTTCACAGTTGGGATGACCATGACATCTTAACATTCCCCAGAACATGAAGTGCTTTATCTCAAATTGATTGCTTTAACTGCTATCACTGTAACTGACCAGCTTAGGGACCAAAAAAAAAATTAAAAATCTGTATCTTAAGAAGTATGGCTTCTCTGACAGCATCTAGTATCTCAGCACTCATTTCAACACAGGCATAGCTGTCTGAGCTAATAATAGCCTGCCAGTTCAATTGTACAAGACTAACTAACCAGCTGTTTCTCACTGTCACCCAACTACTAAGCTCTTCGTTTACAGCAACTCCTGCCAAGTTTTCATCTGGGGGAAAAAGTAACAAAACAAGGCCAATGTACATGAAATGCAACTATCACAGGGATAAAAGACAAGATAAAGAAGTCAAAGAAAGTGGCCATTTGGCTTACACTGCCTGTCTTTATGCCAAGAACAACACTGAAGATCCCTCCCCATTCACACTTCAACCAACAGCATTAATAATTTGAACTCTGTAGGACAAAGTACTGCAATAGGACCAAGAGCCAAAGGAGCTTTTATTAGTAGATGCTTAACAGCCAAACACCTCCCTTGAGATGGCTCATTTTCTGAAAAAACGTTCCTTGAGCTAAGTCGAAAGAGTAAGGCCTCCTGAGCACATGCAGCCTCACACTTCATTAAGTACGGAAGGAACAAAGTGCCAGCACCATTCAAATACTTCGCAGGTATGCAGATGCACTGAAGGAAAAGCCCTCCCATTCTGCCCTTTTGAGTGTTTACACAAACACACCCAGCCTTTCCCCTTCACCTAGTATATTTATTCTCCAGACAAGGAACAAATATCATCCTTTCAAGACTGTCACCTCATTACACCACACTGCAGGCAATCTAGAACACCAGGGCAGTTTTTATGGCAAAGGTAACAAACTGGACCTTAACTAAATGGCATTATGCCACAACACCAACTACATCTTACCATTTGCCGATATTCCCGAATCATTTTTAATTTATCTTCTCCACCTTTGTTTTCTTCTTTCTGTTCAATGCTGCTGATTATTCTCCAGGAAGCTCTTCTGGCTCCAATCACGTTTTTATATGCAACAGAAAGCAGGTTTCTTTCTTCCACTGTCAACTCCACATCCATTCCAGCCACCTTCTTCATTGATTCAACCATTTCTAGGAGGAAAAGGTCAGACAATTACTCTCATACCTAAAGCATCTTTCAAACCACTCAACAGAAGTTGTATGCTAGTGATAGCTTCTCCTTTCATACACAGTTATTCCTCACTTTTATACTGGACTGTTCCAAACGAATCAATGAGTATGTACTCACAAGAAGTATCTGATGTTGTTTTAAATACATTTGACAAGGGGGCCCAAAAAAACCAAAAAAAGTCTTTAAAGATAGCTGGTTTGGGGTTGGGGGGGGTGTTTGGGGTTTTTCTTTGTTTGGGGTGTTTTTGGTTTTTTTTGTTTGGTTGGGGTTTTTTTTGGTTTTTTTTTTTTGAGAGACAAAAAGGATTTAGCATTAGCAGCAAAGATGTTTTTCACAGTTGATAGTAGTTATCAGTACAATCCTACAGGAACGCATGTTCTTCAATGCTTCAGAAAAGGCGGTGAATACTGAGAAAAGCATAAGCAAACATAAGCTTGGCTTTCGGCACAGTAAGAATAAACTGAAGAATTACAGAACATTCCACTGATTTGTCAACTGGAACTTGGTGTAATGCGGTAATTAACAAAAAAATAAAATCCAGATCTGAATAGATGTGGAGAAGTAGATGTAGAGTACTGTTATTAGGGAAGCAAGTCAGAGTTCCAAGAGGAAACCACCAAAAGAAAAATTAGGTGCTTGGAGAAGTAACAAAAAAGTCATCCTGAGGATAACCAGAGCAACCATATCCACCCATGCCAAGCAGCTATTTACACTGAAAAGTAACACACAAAATATAAATTAATATTTATAGTTTAAGCCTTCTGAAAAGGACTTCTAAACATGAGGTTAAAAAAATTATTACTAAATATAGCCTTCCTATGCTCAAGTGGAAGCAAAAGCTTGAACTACTTAAGGAAGGTTATAATCCTTTCATTACCTAACCACATTATGATTGCTTGTGACATATTAGAAAAATACAAGATGAAAAAGTTAAATATACACTAATTGAGAGCCTAGTATGAGACATCCAGGAATCATGGGTTTAGTCCTACCACACAGTGCTTCAGTTCATTCACCATTTGCCTTCCAGCTTCTAGAACTGGTGGGAATCCCAGAGAGAAAACAAGACCATTAATGAATGAGACTAAGCCCCAACTATCCCATCTACTTAACAGGACAACTGCTTTACAGCTATCTGCCAGGTAGAGGGACACTAGAATGACACAATCATTTAGGTTGGAAAAGACCCTTAAGACTGAGTTCAACGCATTTAGCTTCTACCAAGAGCATGATGATGTGATTAGGCTATGCCTCCCATAACAGGATGC